GTACTATGTGAAATTGTACAAGGCCCTTGGGGTGCAGGAGCCAGGTATGCTGTAATCAGCAATTAACTGATGCGGAAAATGTGGATCTAGATCAGCCAACATTTACAGAACTACCTAACACTCCACCAGATTTAAGTACACAGACCTTAATTAATATGACAAGAGAGACATATATACAACTATTTGGTAAACGACCTAATATACCTAATACACCAGCAAGACATGGTCCATTAGTCCCAGGACAGTGGGGTAGAGGTAGGGGATTACTATATGTTCCCGTACACAGCCATGAATTACCGGCACCTGCACAGTCTGCACGAGCAGAAAGAGAGAGGTTAATGCCAGAAATTATTTTCTTGAGAGACTTGTTACGACAGGCGTTAATAGCACCAATTGTTAGTGCTCCTATAGTTCACACAGTGGGGACAGGAATACAGGGTATTCCTATGTCTAATATTAAAGCTACTATTGGCATAGTACCAACATCTGCTAAGGAAATAGCATTATGGCTTAATGAAAAAACACATGCGTTAGATGGGGTTTACCCAACTCAAACTGCAGTTCAGAGACAGGGGCTAGTAAATGCATTACTGCCCTCTGGACTGTCAATTACACAAGCTGAAGCTGAAAACTGGGATATTGTAATATCCACTCTATATGAGAAGACTTATGGCAAAGTGACGATTTCTACACTGTCAGACACACTGGCGGGAGTGAATACAAAGTCAGGGATTATAGCAGCATATAATTTAGGGATGAGATTCACAAGCAGAAATCATTCCATGGTTTGGGGTTGTTTGAAACCACTAGTAAAAGGTCAAGCATTAATACTTGACATAGAAAGAAGGTTGCATGGATTGACCGAAAATGAGAAAAGTGATAGAATGCCTGAAATCCTAAGGAGCACATACACACTTTTAGGTAAGGATCTTACAGGAGAGGGGTATAAAAGCAAAGAAAAAGCAGGAAACAAAGATAGGAAAAGCAATGCAGCATTTACCCCTAGAAGAGACAGGCAAAAACAAGATAGGAGAAGTTCTACATTCATAAAAAGGGAATCTAGACCATCTACATCTATAGATGGAACTAACAGGGATTATTCTCGTCCCTCATATAGGACATATCAAAGGGAAAAAGAACAGACTACAGAGGTAGATCGTACTGAAAGATATCAGTCAACTTCCAAAGGAGAAGCCCCAAGATATTCAGAATTTCCTGGATATAGCGGAGGATATAGATTGAGACCAAGGGTTAAAGGTCCAGACAAATACGGAGGATCCCCAGGACAAGTCAGGTGTGACGAGACCAATCTCGCCACATTGCATTGGAGAAGCCTGGTTGCTCGCCTGCTGCCTTTGGACTATGGCCCCCTTTTAAAAGACTTTATTTTTGCCTGCAGAAAAGCTTCATTCGTGCTTTTCTGCCTGGGGTTTGGTAGATTTGTTTGAATGTGTTATACCCCAGATGGGAATCCCATGGAGCCCATTCGTATGAAACTGACTGTAAAGACTTTGGCTCCATGGTGATTAAACTGTATTTGTGTGGTCCGAGCGCCATTCACTTAATAATGTGCGCTCAGACCTGAGCTATCTGGGGATATGTGAAATGTCTGTGTTTTATGTATAAATGTGACTTTATGTATTTTAAAGTGCTTTGTGTCTTTTTGCAACCATGTGCTTAATGGAGTCTTGTGTCTGTCCTGGGAGATAATTGAATTACTTATCTCCAGGATAGAAGACTCTGAAACTGGTTTGGGCCAGAAAGCCATGCTTCATTTAGTCACAAAGGACTTTTTACTAACTTTTGAACCCCTTGTCTGATTTGTGCCATTTTTGAATATGTTGTTCCCCTGAATGGATTGATTGAGAATATGTAATTTTATGTGAATGTGATGTATGGTTTTGGAGTTATGAAAGTTGGGTAGAAAGTATGTTTTTACTGTTTGTATAATTGAGTTTCCTCTCAGGATAAGGGGAGGGAATATGTGGGATGTAACTGTGATATGATTGGTTGTTTTATCCCTCCCTGTGGGTGGTCCTGTATTTGAAACACTGTAATAAAACCAGGCTGGGTGTGCCAGCACCTCAGACCACTGCTTGACCCTCAACACGGAGCCTTGTCTCGTTCTTGGGGGGATTCACTGTATGCTGTTAGAGACTGATTGCCAGGAGTGTAAGCTGTTCGTCTGCTTTTCCTGTTCGTCTGCTAGCAGCTATTTGGGAGGTTCCAGTTCGGGAGTTGGAGTGCTATTTTGTATCCAGTTCGTGAGTTTTGGTGTTCTGCAGTAGCTGTGCCTGGATCTCTGGAAAGGGGGCCGATCGCCTAAACGGTTTTTACCCCTTGTGTGCAAAACGGTCCGTTACAATTGGTGGCAAGCGGCGGGATCGTTCCTACAGCCAGAAGGACAGCTACAGGAGACACCATTTCTTTGGATTTACAAGTGGGGGCAACGCATGTCCCAGTACAGCGACCCTAAAAGCAACAGAATGGAACCAGCAGTGTTATACAAGGAGGAGGACCTGGATGGCCGGGATGCATTAAGGAAAGGCATCTGGTACCAGGCCCTGGATAATGTACAATACCAGCGGGGTGAGAGTCTCCCCAGTGAAGAGCAGCGGTTGCAGAAGCAAGTGGCCCTGCGGATGCCCTTCCTGGGAGAGCAGCCCCTGGAGGAATGGGTGAAGGAACTAGAGCATCGGGTGTGGCAGGAGCTATGGCTGGAGGATGCCTACCAGGCGCTCTGGTGGTATATGGCACAGTATATACCCTGGACAGCTGAGCATGACAAGCCAGAGGGAGAGGAGTTTGATGGTCCTGGCTTGTTATGGGAGTCCTTTGCAGAGCCTGACTTCGGGAGCCCTGCGCAGAACAGACTTCAGGAAATTTTCTACTAGAAGGAGGCTAGGCATGACTGGGATGACCCCCATGAGGTAGAGCAAGACCTGGCTCACCTAGCAACCCTGGAGTGGGAACTGGAGCAGGACTACCGAGATCTCTTCCACTCCATTGGGAAGGCTCCGCAGGACAGCAGAGTGACAGATCCAGTCTCAGACCCCTTCAGCTGGGATGATATTGTTGAGATTTACTGGGAGGAACCCCAGGTGGCAGGTGGAGATGGGACCGAAGTCTCTCCACCGGCCCTACAGGGATGCTGGGCGGTCAGCCCAGATCCCCAGTGGCAGATTGATTTGCAGGGAATAGAGAGCCGTGTCTCCTTTCCCCAGCAGCAGTGTGATATGCCGGGAATTGGGAGTCCAGTCTCCATTCCCCAGCGGCAGTGTGAAATGCCGGGAATTGGGAGCCCAGTCTCCATTCCCCAGCGGCAGTGTAATATGCCGGGAATTGGGAGCCCAGTCTCCATTCCCCAGCGGCAGTGTAAAGTGCAGGGAGAGGAGGGCAACGTCCTCCCTCCCCAGCGGCAGGCTGAGTTACAGGGGGCAGAGGTAGTTGTTCCTGCCCCCCAGCAGCAGAGTGATATGCCGGGAAGGCAGTGTAAAGTGCAGGGAGAGGAGAACAGCGTCCTCCCTCCCCAGCAGCCAAGTGATATGCCGGGAAGGCAGTGGGAAGTCCAGGGAGAGGGGAGCAGTGTCCTCCCTCCCCAGCGGCAGCGTGATTTTTTGGGAATTGGGAGCCCAGTCTCCATTCCCCAGCGGCAGTATGATGCTTTGGGAATTGGGAGCCCAGTCTCCATTCCCCAGCAGCAGCACAGATCATTGGGAATTGGGAGCCCCGTCTCCATTCCCCAGCGGCAGAGTGTCCTACCGGGAATAGAGAGCCCAGTCTCCTTTCCCCAGCAGCAGGACTCTGTATTGGGAGCAGAGACAGTCGGTCTCTCTCCCCCGCAGCTGGAAGTATGTATGGGAGAGGAGCTTGTTACCCCCTCTCCCCAGCTGCAGCTTAATGTACCAGGGGGAGACAGTAAGCCCCACAACCGTGCAGATGGGACCGTAGTCTCTACACTGCCAGCACAGGGGGTAGGGACGGTCGGTCCTGCCCCCCAGCGACAGGGCTGTTTAGCCAAAGGGGAGACAGTCGGTCTCCCCCTCAAGCAGCAGAGATGGGTAACCAAAGGGGAGACGGTCGGTCTCCAGCAGCAGGACTGTGCATCTAAAGGGGAGACAGTCAGTCTCCAGCAGCAGCAGCAGAGCGGTGTATTTAAAGGGGAGACAGTCGGTCTCCCCCTCCAACAACCAGGCTTCCACCAGGCTACCCTCCCAGTAGCGTTGGCAACAGGGCAGAGTGCCGCTGGTCTCTGCCCACGCAGCAACCCACCAAGTCAGCGTACCCGTACCCAGCACAGCCGTGGTGAGGCACCTGGACATGGACAAGCTTCTCCTTTACCCAGGTGTAGTAACCATTTATTGTGGATGGGCTGTGCTGTTGATTATGTTTTGTGGGTGGGCTGTTGGACTAACAAGGGCACTGACCGGCAGGAGGTCAGATACCCTGTTAGTCTGTTTGGAAAAGGGGAGAGATGTGACGAGACCAATCTCGCCACATTGCATTGGAGAAGCCTGGTTGCTCGCCTGCTGCCTTTGGACTATGGCCCCTTTTAAAAGACATCTTTTTTACCTGCAGAAAAGCTTCATTCGTGCTTTTCTGCCTGGGGTTTGGTAGATTTGTTTGAATGTGTTACACCCCAGATAGGAATCCCATGGAGCCCATTCGTATGAAACTGACTGTAAAGACTTTGGCTCCATGGCGATTAAACTGTATTTGTGTGGTCTGAGCGCCATTCACTTAATAATGTGCGCTCAGACCTGAGCTGTCTGGGGATATGTGAAATGTCTGTGTTTTATGTATAAATGTGACTTTATGTATTTTAAAGTGTTTTGTGTCTCTTTGCAACCATGTGCTTAATAGAGTCTTGTGTCTGTCCTGGGATTTAATTGAATTACTT